TCCATGATGGTACCTTTTGGACGACCTGCAAGATGAGCTTCATAGTCTAGATGTTCTGCTACACCAGCGCCGTGTGGTCCATACATTCCTACTGCATGGACTTCATCGAGAAAGGTGAGTGCGCCGTACTTCTCGGCTAAATCACAAATTCCCTCAATGGGGCCGATCGAGCCGCACATACTGTACACGGATTCGAATGCAATAATCTTGGGAACTTCACGTGGAAGAGATGCCAACTTGGCCTCTAAATCCTCCAAATCATTGTGCTTGAAGACCAACTTCTTCGCGCCAGAGTGCCTAATGCCCTGAATCATAGAAGCATGGTTCAAAGAATCTGACAAAAATACACAATCGGGCAGCTTGCTACCAAGGGTCGCAAGAGTCGCATCGTTCGCCACATAGCATGAAGTGAAAACAAGCGCAGCATCCTTTGCATGAAGCTTTGCAATTGATGCCTCAAGGCCAACCGCATGTTGATTATGACCTGAGATGTTCCTAGTCCCACCAGCACCAGCACCATATACGTCAAGGGTCTCATGCATCGCCTTCAAGACTTGTGGATTCCGGCCCATGCCAAGGTAGTCGTTGGAGCACCATACCGTCACTTTCTCATTCTTGTCGGCCATATGAGCCCGGGGAAATTCCTTGGCCAACCGGTTGATATTGTTGAAGTAGCGGTATGACTTGTCCTTGTGCTTCTTCTCCAATTCCGCATTATAGAATCCTTCGTAATCGAACTTGGGGGCCTTTGATTGGTCATGGCGAGAAGCTTGAGTGGGTGGGCGCATTTGGTTGATGTGTTGAAATGGTACTATTCATCTTACGTTAGAAGATGACCCGACATGAACAATGGGGGGAGGCTCGGAAAAGAAAACACATACCATTTTCACGACCAAACACGGTATCCTCGACAGCCCTCGCTTCGTGGGATCTGCTAGTGTGAAGTTTTGCCTTTCCTGTGCTCACTTTTCCGGAAAAGGCTCGAATGGCCTTCATAGCAGTCACGCCACCAAATCCAACCTTTCCGGCCTTTGCGGTTTGAACGGCGAGAGCTTTGCCCATGACTGGACATCGACCAGCAATGGTCTGGAGATTGGACATACTTCCCCCACCTGGGGAGGCATGGGGACGAGTAGAGGTCGACAGGGATCGAAGGGTTGCGGGCGAGGTCTTTTGAAGAAATGGGCACATCGCCCGACCTTTGAGAACGGCTTCCATAATTATTTGCTTGTTCGATGAATGGATCGACAATGGATTCGAAGAATTGAATTGGGAGCAGTGACCCTCGTGAAGTTTCCTTTGAAGCAGGAAATACGATGAGCGAAAAGAATATTGGGGGAAGAGTGAATTTATTTGGAAGGGTAAAAAGAGAACAGAGCGGCGGGATGATAGATTATATTATGTACGGCATTGGACTGGACTTTGTATAAAAAACTTACCGAGGGGGGGTGGAAAGTGTAAAGCACAGTAAGAAAGAACCCTGACTAATAAATTAATCCTGTAATACACTTGATTGTCGGTGTAACGGGAATTGGATTAAATCTTTCCCCGATGGATAATTATTTGGAATAAGCAATATATGATTGGTCAATTCAATGAAATCGATGCAGATTTTATGTATTTAATACCTAATTGAGTAATTGGAAGATTATTCCTTTGAGCTAACAATGATTGTTTTATATTTTATAAAATAGGTATGGTATGACTCCGATGCATTCATTCTCTTTGTGGTCCTTGAGGTTGTTCGAGATGGTTCGAAGTTAGCACGTGGGTAGGTATGTATGTATGTATACTTCCTCTGTGTACCTTTGTACCTGTGTTCCTATATTCCTGTGTACCTGTCTATTCTAGCAGATAGATAGATATATCTTGTGCTAGATAATCAAAAGCAAATCTTCTCAATATCTTATCGTGTCTTCCACCCCATAGTGCCACCAGATTTTGTTGTATTTGTATTTCTACATGTCAAAAATTGCAGAAAGGGGTTCGTTTCAACCGCCAGAAAGTAGATAGAAGTGCATATGAAAAAGACGATTGACATCTCAAAACTCTGTATGCATCCAATCCATATAAGGATTGTCTGGTCCCGCAATCGTAAGAACATCAGGTCATACATACCGGTAACCGGAGAGACTTTCATTTTCAAATCCCGAGTTCTGCTCTGGAATCAAATCAATTCTCGGAATCTTCGCAAAGTTTCAAAGATCCCTTGGTATCCTGGTAGTCATAAACTAACGTCAAGGTTATCCACATCCGGCCTTTCCCATCATGTCGTATTCGGACTTGAAAGGAAATAGTGTGAAAATTCTGGAACTCTGTACTCGACTCTTGCCATGCTAAGATCCTACTTGGTTCTAGCCTCAATCGAGTACTTCCCTCGAGCTTCCACCGGAAATTCTAGAAGCCATGCTGAATAATCTTACGGAGTATTGTATCATAGGGCTGCTTCATGGTGGTGCTTGCAAAGGCCAATCAAAATTTAGATAATGTCGTCCTTCGTGAAAGGCGATAATTATATAAAAACAAAAACATTGACGGGTCACAGTCATTCATCATCAATAGTTGTCCTTTCCCGTCAGGCAAAGTGTTTTGGATAGCTTCGAAACTACTCGGGATAGAACTTTACAAGGAAAGCTTACATCCAGCAATGATTACCCAATCCAATACCCACTTACAGATCCCCAAGTTTCTCCACGGAGATAAATTCCCGTGGTGATACATCAATTCTTACCATGACTGTGTACGGAACTACATCAGTCAACACCGTCGGATATGAACATAAGGCAGAATGATGATATCCCGTCTGTTCTAGTGGACAATATACATAACACGCATTGAGTCACACGGTGTATCTACACAGCCTGCATGGCATGCAATCATAGTTGATTACTCTTTTCAAGTGTGAAACATTCGTATATTTAATCGTTCCGCTCTAGCCAAGTCAAAGTGCTTACTGCTGTTGAGCTGATCAAACGCAGGTGGTTAAAATGGCACTTCATCTGTTGATAACTTACTACGAGGGGTGGGAAGAGATCGCTTGACTAATAATCACGAACATTATATCTGCCAGTTCAGATTAAGGTATCATAATTGTATGTGTTGATCAGGATAAAACAATAAAGCGACGTCCGTACTCTGATCCATATACCTAACATGCGCTTGAGTTCCATGTTTACCTACGACTTCGCACAGATAGTACTGCCATCTGCTTGGATGTAGCTGTCGCGGAAGAGGGAAGATGCCTAATTATTGAAGGTATGGAAGTGTTCAAAGTATGGACCATAGTCGTATATTTAGCAAATGAAATTTTATTTCCTTTGCAGGAATGATGGTCAGCGTGAAGTTTTTGATTACATCTCTCGTCTTCTCCTTCTGGAGCTGGGCCGACTGAGTTAGATGGATATGCGTGGCGTAACTTCGAAACAAAGAATTGAGAGTATTTGATAATAGAATCATAGTTTGAATGCCAGAAAACATCAGCTTCCCTCAATCTTCATTTACCGATTGTTAATAATCAAGATCTACTTGAACGAGTAAAGAAATTCATGTTGCAATTCCGCTTACCAACCCCCCTGGTTCCTCGATTGCCATGTCGGTAAAGGCACTCTCTGTTGATTGCACATTATGAATCTAAATATTTACTAACGAATTTGCTGAAGGGTCGTTGATCAGGCCAAATGGCTAGAGGCATGTCACGAAATCCCCGCCATGGAGACAATTCATGTCCGCTCACAAGATGCACACAACAGGACGCTCAGCAACTTCCCCATGACCAAAATTACGAAAGGTTATATTTTTACATCACTCACCAGTCTCATTATACTCTCCTCGCTTTTCCACTGTCGCAAAAATTCACTCTTTACTACTTCATGCTCTCCCTCAGATCGCAAAGCGGACTGTTCAAATTGCTGCATCATTACCGATAATCGCCCATCATCTCTCAGCCATCTTAACTCCTGAGACTTAAAGCTTGCACTTCTGTCTTGTGCGCCAATTGCAAGATGGAAGAAATAAAGAGGGGATCAGATGGTGCTCTGAACGGCTCAGCTCCTTTGAGGCAGAATTGAACCACAGCTTCGAATTACAATAGAAGAGGATGGAGGTTAATGTGATTTTAAGAGGAGAACGCTGCTAAGAAAGGTTAAAGGAGGAAAGCCTAGTCTAGGTTCACCCTCAAAACATGGAAATGATGCTTCATATGTGCAGTACCTATGCGAGACTAGATTGCCACCGATTACATATATTATCGGATGTGATTCCACTTGGAAGACAGTATGACTCTTTGGGTGATTAGAAATACCATAATGGTGCGAGGATATGAGGCAGCGTGAAAATGAGGGATCGAGCATCGCAATTCTTTCAGATTCGGGTTCGAATTTCACAATTATATGGCGCTTAAGTTTGCATAGATGCCGTTATTGTTTGGATTTCCAGAGATAAGTCTGTTTACATGAGACAAAGCTATATTAAATAATTCTTTATAGAATCTTATGAATCGAATTCATCAATCCGTTATATGCAGATTCATCATATGGCCTGTCATAGACTTTCAGACCTGGGAGTCTAAGCGAACGCCACTTCCCCGAGCTTACCCCACATCCCAAGTAATGGACTACGTCAACACTTCGAGCTTCTAGAATTGAAGCGTTCCGCTAGTTTCACGAATATCTAATTTGAATGGCTCTTAAAATGCGGCCTAAATCATATAACAACTCGATGACTGAAAGATTATGTTTGCATGAGATACGGGTAAAGAGTCGTTCGTACGTCATTTGTTCGACTCCTTCACGTTGACATCATTACATACGAGTATGCATAGCTAGTGGTGGCGTTACATGCACTTGGTATACGTAGCTATTGTCCAGAACTTCTATAAAATCACTACTTTCAATGTTCCTTCTCCATTCTTAGACAATCATCTATATCCTGTGCTCACTTCAAGAACCCTCACCCGAACAGTAATCAAAAATTCTCCATCGCCCACACCCACACGTACAGTCATGGCAACCGCAACAGCCCCCGGAGAGAACTTTGAAGTTCGCCAAACCTCTTCGACTGAGGATTGGCACCCCGACCCTTCCAAATCTATCCCTCTGTCTCCCGCTCGTCAAGCACTCATTGACGATATAATTGCTCTGTATAGCTGCGAACCTACTATCGAGCGTGTCAAACGTTACACGCCAGATTGCGTCTATGATGACCAGTTCGTGTATGCCAATGATCGGTACAAGATGGCTGGACAGTGGTTTGCGCTACCAAAGTTGTTCAAGGATAGTAAGAACGAGGGGTATCAGGTTGTAAGAAGTGATGATGAAGTGATTCAATTTAAGAATGAACAGGTATTCAATATTCATTGCTAAACAGCTGTGTTTACGTCTGAACAACTTCTAACATTCGGGTAGTCATGGACCTTTAAAATTATCCCAAAAACTGCCACAATAAACGCACTCGTGACTTTGTCTCTTGATCCTGAAACCGTCCACAGCGATTTCATACGAGTCAAGTATCACAAGGATCAAGCCAATGATAAAGACTACAGCCATGAAGGTGTAGGCTTTTCATTCAAGAAATGGCAGGCAGATCAAGTTGCGAAACACATGAGCAGTGACGAGGTTGCTGTTTTCAAAGAGGATAGTACTGCTGGAAAGGAACCTGTTAGGAAGTATGGCGATGGTAAGGGCGAAGCTCCACTGAAAGATTTGTGATGCCTGGTTAGAAGCACAAGAATAATATTGTAATGTGTCGCACATTCATGTCATCATATGAAGCATCATCTATGCAGAGTTACATGGATGTAAGATTATACATAGCCGTCTTCACTACTGAGGAATTACATCATATCTAACTCGGATACTATTGAAGCAAAAGGTAATTGCGATAACCGTGACTTCTCCTACAGACTATCCAATAGCGTATCGTCAGTGTCTCTGAAGATCATCCAAGGATCTTGCCAGTCTCCTGTCGATCGAGTTTCAGACGTTGTGTCTTCGAAGTTTATTAAGTCTGGCTGCGGCTCAACAAACTTGCCAGTCGTTGATTCAGGTGCAGTATCCCAAGGTAAAAGCCCCATCAAGCTCGTGAACAGGGCAAGGGGCTTTGATGCCCTGCCCAGTTGGCGATAAAAAGTTGTGATCTGATGGAACTTCCTCAAGATATTCTGAAGATGCGAAACTAGGCGGCACTGAGCTATTGCATCCTTCGTTGTTTCCTCGTCGCATTTGATTTTCTTCCATATATCTATCAGTGATTACTTCTGAGAAGCTGAGAATTGGCCATTCAACCTCATTCGAGCGCTCCGGGTTTCTGAGCCATGTGCACCGCGCGTCGTCGTATTTGCTTTGTTTTGGTAACTCGAGGTTTCTCTTGCCTGTTCCGTCCTCTAATCCTCCGTTACCAGATACAACTTTATTTTTTACTTTGACGAGCTGTTGCGGTACCGTGTCTGTAGTTTCATGATGACGGCCAGTTTTCTCAGTTGTTAAGTTTTGCTCGGCTGCGTGACTATGGATAGCATCATGTACGTTTCTCAGTTTGGGAGCGTGGAACCCAGAATGCTGGTGTTTCAACAGCGCAGGAAGATTGGCCCATGATCTATCGCTGTTCTTTATGGAGGCCGACGGATCCAACTTACACCAACCGCAAGTCAATTTGCTTTTATTCCTCATGCCAGCTTCAAATCCATCCACAGTTGCGTCTCTGATGAACATGCCTCGGCTGTCTTTTCCTTCTGTTGGTCGGTACATAGAGGGATCGGCTATCTTGTCCGCGAAAGATATACTTAAAGTCAAACCAGCGCCCTGTAACATTGTACTCGGTGTCCCCAAATCTGACTTCTAGTTAGTGCTCATACACATATGCAGAAGCGAATTAGGACGAACCTATTCCAAACAGCCGGGCGGCTTTTCTCGTCACGGCTTCAATTAGTTGTAGTGATAAAACCTCTTCCTTAGTAAATCTTCTCTGCTCCATACTTCCTTCCTCCCAGGAGAACGTGGAATAATGCTTCAGTTTTAGCATCGGTATTTGCATGGGTGTGTTGTTGCCGTACGCCTGGAAACCCATGGTGAAAAAGAGATGTCTTTGTGAGACAAAGGAAAATTGACGTGATTAAAGGTACGAGGTTGTATCTGATGATGACGAAATGTTGATCCATTTTTACGAATAACAATCAATGATCTCTTCAGATGGTAAGAACGAAAGCTGGGATACAATCACATCTGTATCGTGCCTTCCCGTTGAGGTCTGTTTCCAACCCATCCACTCAGAGAGCGAAACATTCATTTTCACCACACCCCAAAGGTTCCTCTTTCCGGTTAAATTTGGCTTTGGGGGGAGGAAGAGAACATGACAAGTACCTAGATTTCATGAGAGTTTCAAGATTTCCCATTCACCAGCAGAGATACCATTGACTAAATTATTGTACAGTATACACTTGTGCAGCTATAAGGAACTTCTGCCCATTGTCATCCGAACTTGAAGCTGTCATGAAATTGGAATCAGACAAAGACATTCATCCATCAAGAAAGAAGGCGAGGCTGCCAAGCCCGGGCCACGAAGGAGAAAGAAATTTCATCTGCAAGCAGTTGAAAGAAGCCCTTCTGCCAAAGGCCTCCAACATTCACTTGAAATCTTTCACGTTCCATATACGGGAGACTATCCAGTTAAAAGAACAGTAACTGTGGATTGATATTGGTAAACAAAGATTAAGGTGAGACGATTTGCGGACCAACTGGTCAATCTTTTGGTATATCAAAGAGCTGAAAATTCTCTTTTGAGTTGATTAATACTCGTTTTGTCTTTCTGTTCTTTACTCCTCTTCACTTCAGATGAGAACTCGAGAAGATTCCTAAGTTCATATCCTCTGATCGATATCAAGTGAACTATCATTAGATTATTACACTATATTGTTGTGTTTTCCTGCGAGATCCAATGCCCTTTCTCCCGAAATGTCTGTGACATCAACCAAATCCAGATCTTTCCATTCTTACTCTTCTCAGTAGGCACGGAGCAGCACAATGTTACTCAGCTAGAACCAGGCTAAGTGAAAGTTGCAATTTGATCGACAAACTCCCCTACAATTATATCAGAACAAAGAGATCACTTCCTACGAAGAAATATGTACCATAGTTTCACCTGATATGCAGATACCAAGAATTGAATCTTACGAATTGCAATATTCACTTGGGCAACGTGCGGTTGTGACCATGAGAGTTCCGATTTTCCTGATTTTATAAACCCTTCTTCGTTCAGCTTCTAGTGAGTCTGGAATTTTGAAAATTAATAGCTACCAGAACTTTTCCATTGTCAACAACAATTTATAATCAACTTATTCTTAGTAAGGGCGAAATTTTCAATACTTGGTTTTACTTTGAGACGGCCAGTAATAACTCAGACAGTATGCCGGGTATTGTGGAAGATCATGAACATGGATCCTATCGAACAATTCCTACTACAGCAGGTCAAAGAAAGATACTCCTGGAAGAGCAAGTAATTTTTTCTTGACCTTTCTACTTGATTCTAACCCTAACAGGTACTTCTCGTTCACCTGTCACCATATCTACTGAAAGTATTTTGCTACAGCAAGTTAGAGAAAAGTACTCTTACAAAGGTACTTAAATGCCCCTCTGCAACCGCTTTTGATGCGGAGCTAACTAATTTTTGGATAGAACTCCCACAGATATTCACTATGGCCCCTGTATCTCCATTACAGACATCGCTCAGCCCAAGAATACCTTCGACAGCCTTTGCTGCCACCTTTAATCTCACCTTTACCACTTCATCGGATAGGAAACTATCAAGACTTTCTTCGGCTGAAAATCAACTCAAGGACATGCTTGTCAACTATAAGCTCGAACAACAGGGTTTTCCTCAGTATTCAAGATTCCCCCTCGAGATTCAGCGAAAGATCTGGATACGTACACTCCCTGATCCAAGGGTTATCCCCATTTCATATGACGATATCACCCATGTTTGCCAGAGTACCAGTTCAGTTCCAATAGCCTTGCACATTTGTAGTACCTCTAGAATTGAGGCACTGAGATTCTATTCGTTATCTTTCGGTACCACGAACGGAAACGGCCGTATCTACTTCAGATTCGGTTTTGATATACCTCTCTTATTGACCAATATCTTCGATAGGACCCAACCTACTAAGCTGCCAGCTGAAAGGTTTGAAAGCTTCATCAATAGTACTCGGAACCTTGAAAGGCTTGATGCAATTGCTATGATACCCGGACTGATCAAATCGATTTTTGGCCCTCATCCGAGACCATGCCCATATCTCTGCAACACAGTCGTCGAGAAGATGCCAAATTTGACGCATCTGTTATCTGCAAATTGTACTAGGGAAACAGATGAGCTACCTATTGGTATGTCTGGATACCTTGCGGGTTATAGGACCATTGGCACCAAAGTATGCAGTGATCTATCCTTATCCATGAAGGCTTATGCACTGAATGAAGACGCTCAACGCCGGACCGACAACTTCAAGAAGTTCTGGAATGTTTATTGGTGCCAGACTTATCTAGAGCTGCATGGCCTACCTTTAGTATTGGTGCAGGAGAAGAACCTAGAAGTTGGTGAGGTCAGGCGATTTTCTCGCATAGGGGATGAATGGGGACAGTCCCCGTGGATTCGATCTGTGCTAGGCTATTCCCGTCCAGAAGAGATTTAATTTGGAAGAGTGTGCCTTGTTTTTGTTGCGGGTTGGTAACATTTAACAACTACATACCATTTTTGAGTTTTAGTTTGAGATAGATTGTTTGATCAATGGGTGAACTTATTCATTGACGGGGCTCGCGGGGGAATACATCATTAGCTGGGGGGCGGAGGAGGAGGGGGGTCGCATGCGAGAGGCAGTGGTTATTTTTATAGTTACCGGATGATCTCAAAAAAGAATATCACAATTATCTAAAACATGCGTGTGATAGTAAACTCCCAAATTGAGGCTTCCATGTTAATACCTAATCAAAGGTCAGAAAGCCCAACGGAAAGTGAGTGCATTGAAGGCAAATCTAGACTGTATCGCTAACAACATCTGAATGAAAAAAATAACAGCCAAGGAGAAAGTAATGAGATAACTAGGTCTTCAAGTAGACTTATTCGGTGATATTGAAGATTTCTTGGCTTCTTCTCTGGGTCTGCAAGATTATTTGCTTCATTGATTGATCATTTTGATGGTGTGTAAAGCTCACTGAAAGTTCACATTCGCAGCGCCCGTGACCTTTTTCAAGTAAGATCTGAGATATCTGCTCCTTTAGAGCAAGCTGGGTGTCCTTTCGGAAAGGACAACTCGAGATCAGGTTGTTGACACTTCAGTGATTGTGCGTTGCGTCGCGTATCCTTGAAGACAGATACATGTGCGCAGGATAGATCACATTTGAATCGGATACTCAATTAAGATAAGAGATAAAACGGTATTTTCTGCCATTTTTGCAAAATCACTAATATTGCTTTTGTCGATGTGGCGTTTCCTTTTCGGCTTTAGGGGACCTGTCCGGGAACCTTCTTCTCATCATCCCCTTTAAAGTGGAAGTACAATTAGCGAGTACCAACTTTCTAATATTTTTATCTTTATGATGCAAGCAACCATCTCTGGTTTCTCAAATCTGCAAACTTGACACTTTCGTAATCGATCTTTTCCGTCCCGCTTGGAATGCTCACGTGCTGTCATCTGCGAGATCAACACAAACTTGTGCTTCAGTTAACGTATAGCTGAATTTTGATTGGTGTATATCCGTTTAAATAAACGAGTACTGCTAGATGTTATATACTAGTTGAATCTTTACAAGTATTGAAGCGACAATGCGGGCCATTCGTGGGGCAAGCGCTTCACAATGAAACATTATGAAATTATTTTAATAATCAAGGACAGCTTTGCATATCGTACAGTCACATGCTTATTCACTTGAGTTAAAGTGTTTGCGATGAGAATCTCTCGAAGGTGCACATCATCACCGTGGTAATTGATTCAGGTGCTTAGCGAATACCAGATGTACCTGTTAAAAGTCTCTCGGTGTGACTCATGAAGTTGCACGTGATGATCTTACCTCCAACTAAACTGGACTATTAGAATATGTGATAATTTCTTTTTCAAAGGTTTACAAAATTACCACAAGGACTGGATAAAGAGGCAAAATATCTCATTCAAACAACAAGTATGGCCGAATTTCAGGATGCCGTTACCAAACTGGTACAAGAATCACTGGCAGCGACACCATATGCCTGCAAAAGTCTTATACCACTTTCCGGGGGTAGTTCAAATTATCTTTACCATGGAACTTTAATGAAAACTCTTCCTGATGGTACCACTGTTGTGATAATTAAGCACACTGAGCCTCATTTGTTTTCCAACAAAAATTTCAAACTAACTACTACCCGAACTGTCAGTTGTTTTTATCTCCTATTCTATAATCCAGTCAAACAAGCAATGATTTTTTTCCTTTCGCTTCTATTACGATATCTATAGACTTCTAATCCGATAACAATTCTATGAATCTCAAATTCTCAGATACCTCACAGCTTTCCCGGATCAGTCCGTTTCTTACAATAATATCACAATTTCTACCCCCAAACTCCTCTATTATGACGCTGGCACCAATACACAGGTCCACAACCATCACCCCTCTCCAACTTGCACAAACCTCAAGTCTTATGTTCTGAAATATCACGCTGCCATAACTCCCTCAATCGCCTCCGTCATCGGCTGCTCGCTTGGAAACTGGCTTAAGAAATTCCATAGCTGGGCCAACTCTCCAGCACAGAGTGAAGTGCGAGAAGTTATGGAGGGGAACCATGCTATGAGGACTCTGAAGCTGGCGATTAATTACACGAATCTAGTTACGATGATTCATAGCTTCCCAAAAATTCTAGGAGGGAGTAGAGATGTGTTTGAAAATGTGGAGAAGGAAATGCTCGCATGGATAAACGGGGGTGGAGAGGGGACCAGGGAGCTAATTCACGGGGATTTCTGGTGTGGAAAGTAAGTTTCTTCAGTCATGGTTCGCAGTCAAGGTTGTTAATGTGATGGTCACGTTAATGCTCATACTATGCCAATTTTATCATAAGATTGAAGGGTACCATTAATTACCCGGAGTGTGTGGACGTATTTCATGAGCCACCAGTCACTGATTATCAATATAGTGTTCTTTTACCAGACACACTCCTGTCCTCCAGCATACCAGCAGCCATCTTCATAACTGACCACGAACTATCGCATCTCTCGACCCCGATCTTTGACCTAGCTCAGATGTGCGCGGAACTGTTCATGCTCACATTTTTCAAATCCATTCCGGCAGGCAAAGAAATTCTTACTGCATTCATAGAAGGCTATGGATCAATCGAAGAGGATAAGCGATGGAGGATGTTGATCTACATTGGATGTCACTTAACATGCTGGGGATCCAGGACTGCGGGTTGGGGAACATTAGAACAAGTAGAGGCGTGTGTGAAGCTCGGTCGAGATTTAGTAATTAACGGCTGGGAGAAAAATAGAGAGTGGTGTACGAGGGAGGGGTGGGCATTTTTAATTGAAGATTACGATTCATAACGAATCTCAATTGTGAACTATAGTAAGAGGTAAAAATTTCTTGCTACTTGAACTGATAGTAAAAATTAGTCAGTGTATGAATTCCTTGAGTATAAATTACTGGAGGTTAACCTTCTTAATAATCTTACTGTCTGTGAATATATTGATACTATAGTAATGTGAAAGAGAAAGATTCGATTAATAGAGATCTGATTTAAGGGATCTATTTAGCTTAATAAGAGTCTTTTGATTATTATCGATTTCAAATCAATTAAATTGAATAATATAAAATATCGTATAGTTGTAACTCACTTGAATCTATATTTACATGATTATAAAGAAAAGATGATTTATATACAATTAAATAATTATAAATAATAGGAAACTCGACTTTAATAAACGTTAATTTAATTATTAGTTGATTGCTTCTTAGATTTTATGATTTATAATAATATTTATTGTCTTCAATTATAAGAGATCTAAGGGTATATAAGTATCTCATTGGGATATTATAATAAATACCTTGAGGGAATAAGTAGAAAGAGAAAACGATATCTCGATAGTATCTTTATACTATATAATATTCAATTGAGATATAGTGTTTGAATTATACTTCTGATTGGATATAGTATATATATTTTTGATAGGGTGAGGGTATAATTAAAGTATTGTTTGTTAGTTTTTATAATTAATCTTTATAAGGCTTTAAATTTAAATCTTTTTTAAAAAAAGAAATCTAATAGATTTATACTATATAGCTTTAATAATCTTTGAAGTTGATTTAAAAACAAAAAAAAGGTAATCATTTTTAAAAAAAGAAACGAAGATTTAAAAATCTATTGATTATTAATTAATTTTTATATGATATTATTATTTTTAATATTGGAGTTTTTTATCAATATAATAAATTATATAAATTCGAAATTATTATATAAAGATATTTTGTAAATATGTAGAGTTCTGAAACCTACCTACCAGCACCCCTATGACAAATGTAATAAAATCCCTGCAAAATTTATATTTTTCTATATAAACTAAAACACTATATAATTAATTCAATTACTGATATTAAATTACAAAAATCTTTTAATAAATAATATAAATCATTCTTTATATATAAAAATTTCTAATTTATTTTTGAATATTTTTATTGAAAAGTTGTATAAACTTTTAATTGAAAAAGTTTAGAATTTTTAACTTGTAACGCTTTCTCATACAAAATAAGCAAAGTTTTCGCAATTTTTCTAATTTTCAACTTAACCTTTCAAAAATACTATTATAAAAATATTTAAAAATAAATGATATATTTTTTGGAATAATTTAAGTAATTCTAAATCTTTTTATAATAACGTAACGTATAGGGAACTCGGATATATAGGGAACTCGAACACTTTTAACCCATCATCAACTTAAAATCATAATAACTTTTATTATATATATCCAATTATTTTTTATATTTACTCAAATTAAAAAAAAGCTTTAAAAAGTTATAATTTCATTTCAATTAAAAGAATTTAAATCAATTAAAAAGACTATAAAATATTTTGAAATTTCTAAATCTATTTTAACTAATAAATTGGCTAGAAAAAAAATACATTTTCAAATTTACAAAATAGCTCAAATTCTTTCAAATATAAAAGAAATACTTTTATACAATAGATTTCACGATTTATTATTACTAAATTCCTTACTATATCTATATTGATGAAGGAAATGATTAACGAAATTCGTTTTCGATATATTCGGATTGTATTATCTCAAAATCCTATTTTAATAGAAATTCCATTTATAAGCCACAAATAGATTCTATAGATTCTAAAATAAATATTTAGAACTTAAAATATACTATTTATATTAATTAGAGTTTAATTAGGTTAAAAAAGTAATTCCAAAGAATATTCAGGTTTGATTGATATATTTCATATATATTTTATTGAAATGAAAGTATAAATTAGATAATATATATAATATAAATAAAATCGGATTTGACATTAGAAGTATTTAAAGTATTTGTATAATAGTTGATTTTATTTAGAAATCGAATTGGAAATTATAGTTAATAAGTAAGAATGAATAATTGTATTTGAATATATCAATGTAATTAGAAATGCTCTATTATCTATAATTATTTTTAAGGCTTAGAATACAAATTCTATATAGATTTCAAAGGATATATTTCAAAACTGATAGTTCTTTATGATATAAATAAATGAATCTCAAATAGCTATAGATTAAAATAATTAAAAAGGGTTTTTAAATCAGAATCCAAAAAAGTATTAGATAACTAACCTCGATTTTTGATTATAGATAATTATTCAAATTATATTACAGATAGTTTTATTGCTTTTTATATAGATAATAATATCAATTTATTTATATTACTTTCTTATTACTTTTATTTATTTCAGTTATTTGATATTATAATATATAAACTAATGAAATAATATTATACTTTAAAGATTGATTGATATTCTTGAATTAAGGGATACGATGACTCTCACCTGTACGTGGTGTATCCTACGAACCTTCGATCGTGCGATCGGAGAGCTAAGTAGAGTTAGCTGGAGCCGGGTGGTGGTTGTACACTAATCGGAGGCTGTATTGGGAGCGAAGGTACGTGTAGTTGATCATTAGAGGGTGATTGCGAAGATGCTTGGAATAGAGGATTACTAGTAAAACGGAGATGAAAACTATTCGATAGTAGAAGGGAGATAAAAGCGAGATTGATGTGGAACCATGCCTTTACGAATCTGTGTAGGGAGCAGAGCTAGAGTATATCGTGGTAGAGTATTTGCAAAACAGAACTAATCTTTGAAATAGCGGATAATGAAGCTTTTATAATATAGTTGAGTCTGACTAAAGCCTGTATTGGGAGCAGGGCCGATATTCTTAACTTGACAAACGAAAATCGACAGAACACCTCTAAGGCATTAGCGTGCAGAGTTTTCATAACCCAACAATATATACGATCTGCGGGTATACTGGATCGGATATTTACAAATAGTAAGGGGAGTAGTAGGAAGTATACAAAGGCTAGAACAGTATCTACTGGGGCTGGCGGGAGTATATATAGAGTAGGAGGAGGGACGTTTTTAGCACTTTATCTCCAAGTACATAAAAGCGGTATAGTGGCGGAGGAGCTCTGGTATAGGAAAAACGCTTTTAACAAGCCACACTCGATAGTGCTCGATCGGTATTACAGCAATAGAGGATCTCAGGCAAAGGCTAATCCTATAATATATATATGCAATGCGCTCCTAGCACTCTACTTTCAATTACAAACTATACATTGGGAGAATGGATTTTACAAGCAAAGCTTTAATTAATGGGTTGGAAACACTATAGAAAGACTGCCTGGCTAGGGGTCTGAAATAGCAAGCCTGCGAGACATAGTCGGCCTTGTTGTACAGGAGAGATCCGGTAAGGTAATGCGAAACGGTTATTAGTCGCGAGATGTAGTATATAATAACAGTGACAGCGATACTATTTATATAGTTCGAGAGGACGGATGCGTATATCGGTTTATAATCGGATACTATAAGGCAGAGAGCATAATGGAGATATCAGATAGGCTTAAAGAGCAAACAGGAATGGAGGTATAAAGGAATGGTTTTGGTTCTAGTTGGAACTTTTGAAGATAATTATATAATAGGTGGTTTAATGTAGTTAGAAGATTCTATAGAAGCTTAGTATTAGTGGCTTTATCACAAGTGAGCTGGGAAAGCGTTTGTAGGTGTAGCGAACCTACTTTGTATTATAATATATTCTAGAAAGTAGTTATAATATAATTCATTTCTGCCCAGACACGATCATCCGAGAAGAGATCAAGGCGCAGGCAGGAGAGGAACTAATGCAATACAGAGTCTCTAAGTACAGGGTGAACCCTTTCACAGGGAGGGCCAACTGGATTGTTAGTTTCAAGAAGATAGTAAAACCATTCTGGCTATTTAATGTCAGTGAATACTCGAAGCCCCTTGACAGGTCGCGACGCCCTCAACTATAACAGTACTCCAACGGGTGCCAGCTATACTGTAACCTGTATATATGTTATCGCTTAGCTTGCTATTCTAGGTATAATAAATTGATTATTAAATATACTAATAGAAAGATCTATGAATAATATTAAAACAATATTCAATGTACAGAATACCTAGAACCCTTCCGATCCGCATACAGCAATTGCTTAGTAATATTACAATCAATCAATAAAAAACTGATCAGATTTATTCATTAACAAATGAGAGAAGTTAGAATTATTAATCAAAGAGAGATTCAGAAAATATGCAAGAGAAAGGCATCTGCTCTAATACCAGCTAAACAACCTTAAATGATTATTCTCAGACCCCTTGTACCGGGGGCCTGCATTATTGTCTATAAGAACGAATAGCAATTAGTAAATCGATTATCCAAACGGATCTGATCAGGGGAGGGCCTCTTCAATAGTCCGATTTATATTCCAGACTGTAATCCTCTGTGTTGTGCTAATAAAGGGGTAAACTATAATGTAGCAGTTATAATTGAAAAAGCCTTCTCACCTTCCGACTCTAAAATGAGTGAGGGGAGTGAATCAAATGTTGACAAAACCGTTACTACTCTTGTATGAGTCATACAACCAATGCGAACTCAATAGAGGGAAGGGGGCTCACGATTGTGTAGGCAAATGTGGGATGTGGACACTTTAATTATATTACTTTCCTATAGATCGCTGGAGAGGCTAATATGGATATCATCTGTATTCAAGAACCCCAACTGTATGATAACTCAGCAACCCAAAATCATGCTGTATATAACCGATACCAGTCGATCGATACTTGGGGAGCGGTTGATAGCCCTGAGTATAGGTTATGAGTGATCACTTATATATGAAAAGGAGGTAATTTGAAGGTCAGACAAATGAGGCAGACCGGAAGCAGGGATCTATTTTGGATTAATGTTAACAAGTACTCGATCCTTAATACCTATTGAGCCCTACTCGATCTACTAATAATAGAATACATACTTAGATTAAAGATCGCCTTAGG